GGAACATTTCTCTCCCCACTTGGAACAGCAGCTCCCCGAGGGCAGGACTCTTGTGTGACATGCTCCTCACGCCCCAGGGGCTGGCACAGAGCCCAGCCCAGAGTCACGCTATGCTGAGGCCACTGCCCTCGGGCGCATGATCACTATGGTGTGGACGGCGGATGGGCGGGTGGACCAGGGGGACAGGCGGTGGGTAAGTGCATGGACATGGGTGCTTAAAGATGGACGGATGGGTGGGCGGATGGGCACAGCCCGTGGCCACCACAGGCGAGGACACAGCCCAGCCCCCACCCCCGCTGTCCCCACACAGCAGCTGTGCGCCCAGCAGGGAGCCTCAGAGACTCTCCTATGCTCAGTGGTTGGGAGGAGATGGCCGCTCTTTGACTCCAGAGAGAGGCTGATGGGTTTTTATTGCTTTTGTACAAATAATGGCTGCCAAGAAGAGGCCCAGGAGCGGCGTAATGAATGTCATAAACCTGCCTGGTAAAGACAGTGCTGGTATCGGCCCTGGCACAGAGGGGTGTGGCAGGATCCTGGCGGCTGGCGGGCATACACAGTGCCCGCCTGGCTGGGTCTCTGCCACCGCTCCTGCCCACGTCCTGGCCTCCCTGTCCCAGGCCTGCTCCCAAGCATGCAGGCAGGCTCCCTCCTCAGGGGCCTCGGGGCCTCTCACCTGCCCCTCTGTTCAAACCTGTGCCTGATTCGGCCAGCCTGGCCTTCCTGTCCAGGGCCTGCCCCTGCCGCCGACCTGGCCCCACCTCCTGCCTTCCTGCGCTGAGCTTAACACCCCGAAGGGAGCAGTGACTCCTGGCTTCCCATCTTCCTCCCCCACGCACCCACCCCAGCTGTGGCTACGCTCAGCACACACCGGCTAGAGGGAAGGCGAGAGTGGATTTCTGTCCAGCTCAGTGTGTGCATGGCGGGCATCAGCAGGGTCAGGAAGGGCCTGGGGGGCTACGGCCAAGTTGGCGCCACCAGGGGCAGAGGGCATGTGGGCATTGGCACACTGGCGGCTCTTCTCAGCGGGACAAGGGCTGGTGGCCGCATGGAGGACAATACTGGGTAGGCAGGGCCATGCTGTGAGGGAGGCTGAGGCTCTCAGCTCCCGGTCACTGAGGTGGCACCCATGGGGTGACCCATTGACCTCTCTGGGCCTGTGTCCCCGTCCGGAGAATGGGATGACCTGGTAACTAAATGCTGCCATGCAGGGTGAGGTGGGTCCCTGAGGTCTGGCCCAACCACAGGCTGTGGCCACGACCCTGCCACTCGCCCGGCCCCTCACCCCAGCCTCTGCACCACCACCCCTGCTGGCCACGGGGCCTTCCGGAACATGCTGTGCATGGGTGTGGGAGGGCGCCCAGCAGGTTCTTGTGGATCCTCGTTCGTCTAATGAGCTCCCCAGCCACCTGCCAAGCTGGAGTTGGTCACCACATGTGTCTTACAGTGATGACAGTGGCCAAGAAGGCCACGCCACATATTCGGGACAGAAGCTGCTGAGGATGAGAAGGGCCGGGGCTTTGCTGGCCACCTAGGTGGGCAAAATCAAACCGCTTTAAGGATGGTTCATAAAATCAGACCAGGTGACAAACACCCGTGCCGCTCAGCCACACAGGAGGCTGCTGGCCTAGCTGTGGCTGCTCCTGAGGCTAGTCGCAGACATGCAGGCAGCAAGGGGTACACACGTGCAAACATGCAACGCCACGTGGCCACAAGCAGACAGGCAGCGAGCATGCAGGGTGTCCCGAGAAGCCTGCAGCACACACACAAACACAGGTCTCTCACACACACGTACACACGTAGAAACCCAGAGAGGCATTTGTGACCCTGCTCGACAAGGCAATGCATAGACCCACGCAGCCCACCACAAATAATGCCGCGGACACAAGCTGCACACGGGACAAGCACAGATCCGCCTACACGCTCACGCACACTGTATGCACACACATGCTCACATGCACACATGCACACATGGACACGCACACACATGCAGACACAAGCACTCATGCACAAACACGTGTGCACACATACATGTGCACCCACATGCATACACACAAGCACACCCACCGACATGCACACATGCACGCACATACACAAGCACGTGCACACGCACACGAACACGCACATGCACACACATGCCTACACAAACGCACACACAAGCACAAACACACCCACATACACACATATGCACCCACACATATGCACAAACATGCACACACACACACGCACGAACACACACGCACATACACAGGCACACATAGCAGCCCCACCCTAGGAAGCACCTCAGAAATCTGATGGCCGCAGGGAAGTGCTGAACCCCAACCAGTGGGCCCCAGACCCCAGCATGATCCAGACCCTCACTTGGGGCCCTCCTGCTCCCAGCCCCTGCCCTGCTCCTGGGCATGCACCCCCAGGACAGTTCTGGGTCCTCTACCCCGGGGGGTCTGACCTCAACCTTCCTGCAGCCTGGGGACGTGTTAGAGCACTTCTGAGGAGGCCTGGCGTCTCCCTGCTTCCTGCCTGGAGCCTGGGCTCTCCCCTGCAGCCCCCACACGCCAGACACAAGTGGCCCTCAGGGCTGACATCATGGGAGTCTGAGGGCCCCACTGGACCAGGGCCCTGTTCACACAGTGGCACACACAGGGCCCATATGCACATGCCAGCATCTGAAACGGGCTTGTGTGCCAGGTTCCAGCGCACACACAAGACCAGCTGCAAGCCTCGGGGTCTCCTGGCTCCTGTGGCTTGGAGGGGACCCCATCCCCCATGCAGCAGGCCAGCCCCGCCCCTCGGCCACCACCATCTGTCACTTCAGTGGTGGGGGTTAAGCTGCAGGCAGCTGACAAGGTAATGATGAGCTTTCTCAGAAAACATTGAGAGAGCTTTAGGGAGAAGACTTGAATAATGAGTGGAGACTCAGAAGCAGAAGGGCACCTCGGGGCTCAGGGTAGAGACACCCAGGTGCCCTAGGGGCCACAGATCCGCTGGGGTGGCCACAGGAACTGACACACGCACACCTCACCCGCAACAGGGGGCAGAGCCCACTCTCCAGCGCATAGGACCCGGCCCCCATTCTGAACCACAGTGAGCTGGCACTCAGAGATGCCAGGAACACCCTCGTCTGGCACCTCTGCCGGCCACAGCCCTCCTCTGCCCATGGAGGCTGCACGGGGGGAATAGCTCACGGCACCCCCACTTGGCCAGGTGACTCCCAGTGGCCGGGGCCAGGTGGCCTCGGCCCTTTTCCACACTCAGGCCCCCAGCACGTACTGCAGGAGCCGGGCTGTCAGAATGTGGCTGATGGCCTGCCCAGGACACCAGGGAGAAGGGCAGGGGACGTCGTCGCAATCATGACAGCGGTTGTCAGGACACCCACAGCCCCTCTGAGGGGCTGCACCCCACGCACAGACGACAAAGCAAGGCTGCCCAAGGCCCCGTGCTGCACAGGGGAAGGAAAGCCCCCAGGAAGAGGCCCCTTGGGCAGGCGGCTGCTCCAGGAACTCTTGCCCAGAAGTGAGCTCCGGCCACCCCAGGTCAACAGCTCATGGACTCTAGGCCAAACCAGGTGAGAGGCCAAAGGCAGAGCCCACAGTGGCAGAGCCCAGCCCAGGGTGGCCGAGCCCAGGGTAGCAGAGCCCAGGGTGGCAGAGCCCAGGGTGGCCGAGCCCAGGGTGGCAGAGCCCAGGGTGGCAGGGTCCAGGGTGGCAGAGCCCAGGGTGGCAGAGTCCAGGGTGGCCGAGCCCAGGGTGGCAGAGCCGAGCCCTGGGCTTTAGACAGACCCTCAGGCAAGTGGGCAGCCTCGGGGAGCTGGGGTGGGGTGTGGAGGGCCCAGCTGAGCCCCTGCTGTGACCCAGCCACGTGGTCAATTCCTGCCCTGGACGCCCAAGGGTCCAGGGATCATGGGGTCCACTCCCAGCCTGTGGCCACACCACACATGTGGCTCCCTCGCCGCCTTCTGTTCTGCCACCAGCAGAAGCCATGGGACGGAGGGAGTGGGGGGCTGCCCCCTGGGCCTGGCCACACCAGGTCACTAATGGGCTAATTACATGCCCTGTAAAGCTGCTGTGGCTTAGTGAGGGAGCCTCTCCAGCCCTGGGTCATGCAGGGGCTGCAGGGATGACGTGGGCGGAGTCCGTCCCCCACCCCCACAACGAGCTGAGCAGGCCGTCAATCTGCAGAAATGGCTCTCATGGAGCTCTGGGTTTTATGAGGTCATTAACGTCCCTCCTGATGCTTACAGGGAAATAAAATCAAGTTGTGAGGAGGGGCAGGGCTGCTCCTCAGGGAACAGTGGTGCTGGGGGCCAGGGAGATGGGGCTGGGCCTCCAAGTCCGGGGCAGGGGTCGGCGCCCAGCCTCCCAGTCCAGGCACACCTGCAAGGAGCCCGCCACCATGCCACACGCACCCACAAGGAGGCGGGCGCACCCACACTCTTCCCCCACCCCCGCACACACGAGTCACGCAGGCTGCATGCGGGTCTCCCTGCTGGCCACGGGGTACCAGCTCCCTGGGCATTGCCCTGCAGTGCCCAGCCTGGGCCCAGGCCTCTCTGTCCAGGGTGAGGCGTGTGCCGGTCAGGGCGCTGGAGGTGGCTGCTCACACACAGCACCTTCCACACGAAACGTCCCAGGCCCCCAACAGGACCCCAGGCAGCAGCCTGGCCCTGGCCCCGCGGATCCCGGCACCTGTAGCCTTGGCTGGGGTCTGTGCAGGCTGACCACTCTGAGGCTCCTGGCGGGGCCACAGCTACAGGGCCAGCCTGTTCCCCCGGGGCAGCATGTCAGCCTGGGGTCCCCGGAAGACCATGAGCAGGGCACTCCCCCGAATCCTCGCTCCGGAACTTGTCCACCCACCGCCGGCCCCATGGTGGTTGAGGCCAGAACCAGTCTGGGGCTCCAGAAGGAAGTGGGCATGGGACAAGGCGAGCCAGGTTGCGGAGCCTCGGACAGGGGAGACGGGGGCCCCCTTGGGACAAAGATGGTGGGGGGTGCGGGGGGACTTACGGAGTAGCCTCTCCCCGAGACCGCCTGCGCAGAGCTCTGCAGAAGGAAGGAAGGACAGTCAGTGACGCTGCGGCTCTGACCCCAATTCCTGGGGACGCACCTGGCCACCTGCCCTGCAACCCATAACCCAGCTGAGCGCTTGTCCCAGGTGGGGACAGGTCCAGATGCCCGGACCCAAGACCGCCCATGAGACGTCCTCCCAGGCAGGGGCTGCCAGGGCTGATGCCTTGGGGAGGAGGACAGAGCTGGGTGTCATGGTGGGGTCCTCCCTAGGAGCTGCCGTCCTCCTGGCTCAGCCAGCGTGAGGCTCCCCTGCTCTGGGGTCCAAACCCGAGGAGGCACCCATGGAGACACCCTTGGCCAGTTCCTTGCCCCCAAGAGGGAAGGCCCTGCCAGAAACGCTGCTCAGAGGAGGCAGGAAAACCTGGGGGAGGCCAGCCCGGGGCCCCAGCTTCTGCTGACCTCCCTCCATGCCCACCCACCAGAGGGGTCTGCAATTGCAGGACTTCAGGGAGGGCGTCCTGGCTGGTCAGGGAAGGCTTCCTGGAGGAGGTACCAGACGGACCCCTCCAAGAAGGGTTCACCACAGGGGCCTGACCTGACGGGGAGTGGGGATGGCAGCTGGGGGCCCCTCAGACATCAGGCACGCTCTGGTCTGGAGGGCTGCTGGAGGACCCCCGATGACCCTTGGTGGGGCTCCCTCTGGTTCGAGCAGGTATTGTGAGGCCTTCAGGACAGAGCTGTGGGTCACATCAGCTACACACCAGGGTCTCCCTCAGCAGGAGGGTGGGGAAGCAGGCTCAGAGCCGCTGTAGTGGATGGGGCGGCTCACTGAGCTGGGCAGGGTGAGGCTGAGGACTTGGGTACTTGGCATGGCTGGGGCACACGGAGAGGGTCCAGAGCAGACTGGGGAGTGGGGGGCAGGTGTAAAGATCCAACACCCCCTCTGAGGGGCAGGGGCAGAGGAGGAAAATGGGGGCTCTGGGGCCAGCTGAGGGCAGACCCCTACTCTTCCAAATGGATCCATGATCCCCACTGCAGTCAGAGAGGACATCCCCTCCCCTTCCCCAGACAGCTCGAGGGGCCCCAGGGTATCAGAGGACAGAGCCCAAGGCCCTGGGTCCTGATGGCCCACCCGCCAGCTCCTGGCTGCCAGAGGGCGGGCGGGCCTTCGTCGCCCTGAGTTTCGGCCTCAGCCCCAGCTGCTGTGTTGTGCTCAGAATGTGACCTCATTCACCCAGGACTGGCAACCAGAGGACGAGCCGAGGCAGCGGCGGCCCAGATAATTCTCAGCCTATTTCCTGTCTCGCGGCAACAAGCCAGGAAGCTGGGCAGTGAGGCCTCCACTTAAGTGATACGGAGACGCCTTGGGTTCCATTCAGGCCCACGGGAAACCCGTCCACTGCCCCTCTCCTGCAGGAGTGGGAGAAGGGGTGCCAATGGCCTCCTCCCGGCCAGGTGGGCTACTCCGCCTTCACCACAGCCCCAGCCGGATGCTCCCACGGCCACGCTCTCACTCCCACGGCCACGCTCTCAGGGGTCAGCCCCGTTACTGGCTGAATCCTGCCTGTGAGCCCAAGTGTGGGGGTCCCGGACCCCTGGGGACCTGGTGCCCAGGGGCCTCTCTCAGGGACACGGAAGGTATGTCTTCTTGACCCTGGTCAGCGTGTGGCCTGCCTGGCACAGGCACACCAACAGCCAGGCCGGGATGCTCGGCCCAGACCCGCTCAGGGTGAGAGAAGCGCCTTCCGCTGACGTGGAACAAACCCCGGCTCCTGCCGCCGGCCACATTCCGCCCATCTCCTGTCCCAGCCCACGAGGTGGGTGGGTGTCCCCGGCCGCAGGACAGAGGCCACTGCAGCCCAAGCGACCCCAGTGGCAGCCCTGGGGCGGCGGTCTCGAGGCTCAGCCACCAGCTGCCTGCCCTCCAACCCCAGGGCCAGCTCATCGTGTTCCTCATTTAAATCTCTCCTAACGGGGAAAGTCCTAACGAGTAAAAGATCCTGCTTTAATGAAGGCAAAATGCTAACGGCTAAAACACAGCCTTCGTGGGAAATCGGGCCCCTGACCGGGGGCTTCTGGACAGGTGGCCCAGGCTAAGGCAGCTCCGAGCACGGGCAGCTGGGTACTCACATCGCTGAGTGGGTCTCGGGAGCTGCTCCACCGGGAGCTGGTGGCTTCGAGGATGCTGTCATCATCACTGTCCCGGTCGCCCCCTTTGGACACGATGACCTTCATCTGGGACACAGAGAGACACCGTCTCAGGCAAAGCCCCACCTCACCGCATCCGCACTGAGGTCCCTGGCACACAGCCCCGAGCCCCGACAGCCACTTGGCGCTGTTGCGGAGGGGGAGCCGGGTCCTGGTCTGGGGGCGGGGGCAGTGGCAGGGCAGAGCTCTGCAGAGCCAGGAAGGCCATCCAGGATGCGGATGACCCACCCAGGAAGCGCCCCATGCTCGGATCCCCCCTTCTGCAAGCCGCTGACTCTGAAGACATCCTGGGGGTGCTGGGGACCACGGGCAGGGCCTCCGCCACACCCTGGCCTCTTCTCAGCCCCAATGGCCAAGACACTCCCTGGCTGGGTGGCACCACCACCCCATCCGGCTGCACAGGGCTTGAGGCCTCCAGGCCGAGCATCAGTGCCACCCCCGCCTCTGGCTGTGCCCACACCACCTCCTTTGGGCGGCGCCATCCCAGGGCAAGCAGCGAGGTGGGTGGTGGGACCTGCCCATCCCTGGCTGTGTGAGCCTTGGGCCACTGGTTTGTTCACCTGCAGAGGAAGTGGCCACACTCACTGCCCCCCGCCACCACCTCTGGTGCCAGCCAGCACAGGCGCTGCTGCGTGCCAGGCTCCGGCCCTGGTGCTTTGCACACGCTCACACACATTTGCTCACACGACAGCCCCAAGTAGAAACCATTTTCCTTTACATTTCACAGATGAGAAACCTGAGGCCCAGACAGGTTAAGTGGCCAGGCAGGAACTAGACCCAGAGCCCTGCATGTATTTCATTTTTTACTTGGAAATAAATTCGGACCTGTTCCAGGTCAAGGTGGCCAGAGAGGGAGACAGGGTTCCTCCACGGGCGGCTGGAAGCGGCTCCCTCTCTGGCCACCTTGACCTGGAACAATTCTGCACCTGGTGGTCACTTGCCCCAACACGTCTGGGCCCCCAGAACTTGCATCTGGGACCCCTGGTGAGCCCCTTCACATTGAGTCATCCAAGTCAGAGCACGCCCAGCCCCGGGAACCTGTCCAAGTCAGGAGCATCCCCTGAAAGCACCCTGGCCCTGGGGTGCTCGTCGGACTGGCTGGTGTGGCTGGGTGCAGCCATGAGCCTGGGGTCAGCCAGGCCCACCCCTCGCACCCCCAATGCCACAGGCCTCTGAGTCCTGCGCCCCCTTCCCTCTGTGGCTGGCAGGGTGCACACAAGGCAGACGGTGCAGGTGATAATGAAGGGGTGTCACCCAGGCCCCTGGGGTCAAATGCATTCGGCCCGTGAGGTCAGTCCAGCCTCAAGGAGCAGAAGCCCAGACCAGAGGAGGAGGAAGGAGGCCCCCGGCAGGGCAGGGTGGCAGCCCCCAGGGAGTCTGGGCCTTACCATGCGGGAACCAGTGGCAGGACGGTGGGCTAGTGGCCAGCTCAGTGGCGCAGTGGCCCTCACAGGCACTGGCCAGGCTGCCCGGCTCCTCCCAGCAGTGTGGCCTCAGGCACGTGACTGACCCCCCTGCCCCGCCCCGCCTCAGTTTCCCCATCTGTAAATGGCCTCTCCGGGCAATGAGGTTCCTGTGCACTAGGCCCGGGGCCGGCACCTTCCAGGCCACCAGGTGTCACTGTTGTCACCAGCTGGACTCTGGCCGCCCCTCCTTCCTCATGGCACTTGTGGTCTCAGCCACCTGGCACTTGTGGTCTCAGCCTGGCCGCCATGCCCACTGGGTCCCACACCTGCTGCCCTGCTGGGGCCGTCAAGGGTTCCATCCACCCCCAAAAGGAGCGAAGGTTCTCAATCCTGAGCCAGTTTCTCCACACAGGGTCTGTCCCCCGGAGCCTATCAGGAACAAATTTCCAGGCCTGCTCTAGGAACCCTGTGTCACCGGCCCCCTGGGAGGTCCGACCATTGGGAACGGCCCCATGAGCCCTGCACGCACTGCAGGGGCAGCACCTGCAGTGACGGAAAGGCAGCCACAGGGCCACCGAGTACAGCAGTGCGGGAAGCTCACTGCCCAAGGGCACCCAGCTGATGGGAGGAGGCACGGCTAAGATACGCCCACAACTTTTCACAGCTGAGCCATGAAAAGCAGGACACCTCTCTACACTGCTCACAAAAGCCACCTCCGGTCAGGGCTGGGTGCAAAGGGAACACCTCACCCCCATGCCACAGAGTGACTCTGCGGGGTGCCCTGCATTTGCCCCTCCCAAACCCAGAGGCCCTACGAGGCGGCCAGGTAGGCAGTGGGGTAGGGTCCCGCTCTTCCTTGGGTGGCCAGATTTAGCTCTGAGAGCCTCCTGTCTTGAAAAACCCTGCAGAACTGGGTCCTGGACACAACCCACTGTGTAGACAGCCAAGGTGGCTGCCCGCAGCCCTGCGCTTCACAGCGGCTTCTCAGTGCGGCCTGCCGGCCAAGCCAGGAGCTGAGAAGGCCACACGTCCACTCCCAGCAGGAGCTCAGAGACAAGATCACAGTCCCTGGACTCCCAAGCCCACATCTGGGGCCAGAGGGTGCCCCGCACGTCCAGGAGAGTAGGTGGGAGCTACCATGTAGGTAGAAAGTCTCCTAAGTGCTGAGGCAGGAGACTGAGGCCTCAGCCAGTTCTTGTTTAATAAACAGAATATAGAAAGAAGAATCTAGTTAGGAATAAGTGTCTTGAGTGATTAGATCACGGTCTTACTGAATATTAAGCTTTGACTGAAGCCTTCTTGTACTTTATGCATAATTCTCTATGAAATCCGGGTTGCTGTAGTCAGGGACCGATAACAGACACTATGAAATGTGGCCACGAGGCAAGGCCATTAATACCTGCCGAGCATCAGCGACCAGGGCGCCCGGCAGAGGCGACTGCTCAACGCTGAAGCCCAGCCCTCTGTCACAGCCGCAGCAGCGCTGCTGGAGGGCATCTCAAATCTCTGCAGCAGCGCCAGTGCTGGGGAAGCACCCAAGACTCAGCAGGCCTTGGAAGGGCACAGCCCCTGTCCCTGGGTGAGCTGGTCGGCACTGCACTCCCCACCAGCTGGAGGAGGGACTGGGACCGGCCAGCCCAACGCAGCTGCCCGGGGCCTCGCTGTCTCTGCATGGCGCTGTGCTATGCTGGGTGCGGTGTGTCTGCTTTCCCTCCCTACATCTGCACCCGGCTCTTCTTTTGAAGACAGTGAGAAGCAGCGTAATTCTTGCAGCCTCTGTTCTTACTTGGCAGGTATACCATAAGGTGCTGAGGCATCTCACTGCCCCCTGCTTCGGATACTTGCAAGCCCGGGGCCCTGGTTCCTGAGACACGTGAGCTGTCTGAAATTCACCCAACTTACTCTGCCCCCGTTTTGTACCCAGTAACAGTCGGAGCGTCCAAGCACTCGGGGCCACTGCCGGCGTCTCCGCGCACTGGTGCAACGGACCCCTGCGCCCAAACTCCTTTCTTGTCGATCCTGGCGTACCGCGCCTTTATTTCTACAGGCTCTCACCGCCGCACCCAGAGAACACCCTCCGGACCCAGCAGGGCTGGGCCCTGCTCTACCGCACCTGTGCCCACCGGGCCCTGTGGTTGCTCCACCCGTCCATCCACCCATCCCACCAACGCTTATGAAGGCCCCACGAGCTGGGCACCATTCTGAGCAGTGGGCAGAGCAGACCCAGGCTCCTGCCCTCCCGGGGTGACAAAGGAGCGGCCGTTCCCGGTGCACACAGAAGGTGACTCTGGCTGCCAGGCGGCAGGTGCTGGGGGAAGGCACGCACGCCAGAATGCATGGCGTGATCTCGGCTCACTGCAGCCTCCGCCTCCAGGGTTCAAGCGATTGTTGTGCCTCAGCCTCTGAAGTAGCTGGGATTACAGGCATGCACCACCACGCTCAGCCAATTTTTTGTATTTTTAGTAGCGACGGGGTTTTACCATGTTGGCCAGGCTGGTCTTGAACTCCTGACCTCAAGCAATCCGCCCACCCTGGTGTCCCAAAGTGCTGGGATTACAGGTGTGAGCCGCCTTGCCTGGCCTGCCTCGTTCATTTCTGTACTTCTGTTCTTGTCTACACTACGGCCTTCCTTTATAGGTTTACTTCCTTTTTTTGTTTGTTTCTTAAGGTAAAACCTTAGGGTTTTAAACCTTTTTTCTTTTCTAACAAGCATTCAAGCTGGTTTTCCTCTAAGCATTGCTTCGGCTGCATCCCATCAATTCTGACACAGGATTCCTTATTTTCTAATGAAGTTCAGTTCAGAGGGAGATTTAGGAGGTTTAAATCTCCTCAATTTAAATTAGGAGGTTTAGGAGATTTAGGAGGGCTAACGGCCTGCCTGGCTGGGTGTGCTGGGTGGGAGGGGAGGAGAATGACTGTCAACTTCTAGCTCAGTCACCTGGGTGGGTGCTAGGTTCACCCACCGAAATGCGGCAAAGACAGAAGCCGTGTGTCTGGTTTGTCCATGCCAAATGAGAGGAGCATCCTGGGTCCTGGCTGGACACTCTGAGCAGAGGCAAGACGGTGCTCAAACCGCAGAGCTGTGAGGTGGAGGACGAGGAGAGTCGCAGACGCTGGAAACAGCACGGGCATGGGACAAGAACGCACGAAGGGCACGCTGTTCTGCCCTCCCCCCAGCCCCCACCGTCAGCCCTGTGGTCACTGGGCGCGTAAGCCAACAGTCCGAACTCAGAAGTGCTGTAAATGTAAGGCACCTGCAGCTTTCCTAGACTCCCTACAAAAAATAAAATAAAAAATGTCTGATAGTCTCTGTATTGACTACATTGTTGAGATACTATTTTCAAAGTACATGCAGTGGAATGCAATATTTTATTAACATGAATTTTACTTATTTCTTCCTACTTTTTAAATATGCAGCTCACACAATATTCCCACTGAACAGTGCTGACCTAGGGGAGTCCGGCACCCTGCCCACCCCTGCTGGATGAGAAGCCACACTCCACCGGGTCCCAGGGCGTCTATCCCCAGGGAGCCCTGCAGGGCGTGTGCCGGCCCTAGGAGAGGCTTCCTGCTGAAGCCCCGCACGCAGGCAACCCTGTGGCTCAGCATGGAAACCACTCT